CTCTTGAAATTTTAGCCTTTACATTCTTATTTATTTATTTATTTATTTATTTATTTATTTATTTATTTATTTATTTATTATATTTCTATACCGCCTTTCTCCCGTAGGACTCAAGGCGGTGTACAGTCAAGAAAAATATAGATACACAAACATCATAAAATTGCTAATTAAAATTATTATTATAACATAGTTTCACCCAATTAAATAGAACCTAAAATTAGATAACATTTTAAAAACATTCACATGTTCATATGTTTAGCCCTGCTAAACAGGGTTTTGAGGGCACGGCGGAAAGCACGGAGATCAGGATATTTCGTATCTCAGGGGCAGGGCCGGATTTAGATGCAAAGAGGCCCTAGGCTATTCCACTTATGAGGCCCTTTCACCTATAGTGAAAGTGTAATTTTAATTTTGCTAACAATTTGAATGTAGGGAATGTAGGCCCCTCTTGATCTTGAGGCCCTAGGCTGAAGCCTAGTTAGCCTATAGGAAAATCCGGCCCTGCTCAGGGGGCTGGAGCCCTCACAGAGGGTTGGAGCCCTCACAGAGAAGGCCCTCCCCCTGGGAGTCGCCAGTCGGCATAATTTGACTGACGGTACCCTGAGTAGTCCCTCCCTGTGAGAACGAACTGGTCGGTGGGAGGCTATTGGTGGCAAAAGACGGTATTGTAGGTATCCAGGTCCTAAGCCATGGAGCGCTTTAAAGGTGATAACTAATACCTTGAATCGCACCCGGAAGACCACCGGGAGCCAGTGCAGCTCGGGTAGGAGAGGTGTTACATGGACGCAACGAGCTGCGCCCATAATCACCCGCGCAGCTACATTCTGGACCAGTTGGAGCCTCCGGGTGCTTTTCAAGGGGAGCCCCATGTAGAGAGCATTACAGTAGTCCATATGGGAGGTGACTAGGGCATGAATGACCGTGCGCAAGGCGTCCCGATCCAGAAAGGGACACAACTGGCAGATCAGGCGAACCTGATAAAAGGCACCCCTGGCCACGGCCATCAAATGATCTTCTAAAGATAGCTGTAAATCCAGGAGGACACCCAAGGTGCGTGCCCTCTCTGTGGGGAGCAAGATCTCATTCCCAATTGTCAGTAATTTAATTTAATTTTTTTAATTTAATTTCGAATTTATATACCGCCCTTCTCCCTGAGGACTCAGGGCGGTGTACAGCCAAGATAAAAAACATAGAATACAAATATTAAAACATTTAAAAATATATATAAAATTTGGCCTAAAAAATTAAAAATCACAGACTAATTAAAAGGATTTAAAAATTTTAAAATTTCTTCTTAAGCCAACCCGGCTTGCTGAAAAAGATAGGTTTTCAGGGAACGACGGAAGGCATTGAGGTCCTGGATTCTTCTTATCTCCGGGGGCAACTGATTCCAGAGGGTGGGAGCCCCCACAGAGAAAGCCCTCCCCCTGGGGGCCACCAGCCTACATTGTTTGGCTGATGGCACCCTGAGGAGGCCCTCTCTGTGGGAGCGCACGGGTCGATGGGAGGTCATCGGTAGCAGCAGGCGGTCTCGGAGATAGCTAGGCCCTATGCCATGGAGCGCTTTAAAGGTGATAACCAACACCTTGAAGCGCACCCGGAAGACCACCGGGAGCCAGTGCAGCTCGCGCAGGAGTGGTGTTACATGGGAGCGCCATGTTGCTCCCATCACTACCCGCGCTGCTGCATTCTGGACCAGCTGGAGCCTCCGGGTGCTCTTCAAGGGGAGCCCCATGTAGAGAGCGTTACAGTAGTCAAGGCGAGAGGTGACGAGGGCATGAGTGACTGTGCACAGGGAATCCCGATCAAGAAAGGGCCGCAGCTGGCGAATCAGGCGAACCTGATAAAAGGTCCCCCTGGTAACAGCCGTCAGATGTTCCTCCAAAGACAGCTGCCTATCCAGGAGGACTCCCAGATTGCGAGCCCTTTCAGTGGGGGCCAAAGACTCGCCCCCAATAGTCAGTGATGGAGTCAACTGACTATATCGGGATGCCGGGAGCCACAGCCACTCAGTCTTGGAAGGGTTGAGCCTGAGCCTGTTCCTCCCCATCCAGATCCGCACAGCCTCCAGGCACTGGGACATCACTTCAAGGGCATCGTTGGGGTCAGTGATGGTACCAGCTGACTATACCGGGACGCCGGAAGCCACAGCCACTCAGTCTTGGAGGGGTTGAGTCTGAGCTTGTTTCTCCCCATCCAGATCCGTACGGCCTCCAGGCAACGGGACATCACAGCAAGGGCATCATTGGGGTGGTCTGGGGTGGAGATGTATAGCTGTGTGTCATCAGCATACTGATGAACACTCACCCCGAAACCACGGATGATCTCGCCTAGCGGTTTTACATAAATGTTGAACAGAAGGGGTGAGAGGACTGACCCTTGCAGCACCCCACAAATAAGGTGCCTCGAGGTCAACCTCTGCCCCCCTGCCAACACAAACTGCGAACGGTCAGAGAGGAAGGAGGAGAACCACCGAAGCACGGTGCCCCCTATTCCTAACCCCTCCAGCCGGTGCAGCAAGATACCATGGTCGATGGTATCAAAAGTTGCTGAGAGATCTAATAGGACCAGGATAGAGGAGCAACCTCTGTCCCGAGCCCTCCAGAGATCATCAACCAACGCGACCAATGCCGTTTCTGTGCTGTATCGTGACCTGAAGCCCGACTGGAATGGATCCAGATAGACAACTTCATCCAGGTATCGGGGTAGTTGTCGTGCCACCGCACTCTCAACAACCTTCGCAACAAAGCGAAGATTGGAGACTGGACGATAATTTGATAATATAGCCGGATCCAGGGAAGGCTTCTTGAGGAGGGGCTTCACAACCGTCTCTTTCATGGCGGCGGGAAAAACACCCTCAATTAAGTCTATACCTTCACTCCCCTGTATGTATGCTTCAGACTATAAGTTCAGACCATCTTTATTTAGGTTTATTAAATCTTTCCTGCTTATTGTTTCATTTTAGAAAATATTTTTGTTGAATTTTAAAGCACTGTAGTTTTTTTTCACAACACAAACAGACAGGTACACAGACACACAAAGTATAACTTTGATAAAATAACCAAAAGCTTAAAAAGGAAAAAAAGAAATTGAAAAAGAATAAAAGAACTAAAAACAAAAGAAAAAAGAAATAACACAAACATTCGAATTTCTAAATTCCACTGTCATTCCATAGTTTCAGAGATTTGGTTTTATATTAATACAAATTGTTACTATTCAATTTCTTAGACAATGTTGAATCCAACATGGGCATTCCTTCACTATAAAGCCAATTTAAAAAGATTGAGATGAATATCAATAACCTTTTTTATACATTTTCAGAAGGGCCCAATAAATCTGAAAAAACTTGGCTAAATTTATAAATCCTATTAAATGTTTCTTACAATTCTTAAAATCTTTAAAAAGCAAATGATATTATTTTTCTTCCAATATATTGTTGAAGTTAAACACTGAGCAATGCAAGATATTCCAATTCATTATACCAAATTTCTAGTATAGTGTCCAAAATTATTTTTGTACATTTTTAAAATGTATACTACTAATAAATTATGGTTTAAGTTCTCAGTGAATTCTTTCACAAACACACTGTACCTCTGGGGTTTTAGAAGCCATTGTGGCCAAATGGTGGGCATACCAAAGTGGATATATTATTATTCAGCATTTATAAAATGTATTTATTTATTCAATTTAGAAGTCAACTGATCCATCCAATTCTTCAGAAATATTGTCACTTATTAAGTGATTAAGAGTAAGAATTCCTTTTTTGCTTGTTTTTAAAAGCCTTATTAGCCAATTTAAAATAAAAATTACTTCAAAGCATTATTTTCTTATAAGAATTATAAACAATTTTAATATTCTGCTCAATAAAGCTGGAAAATTGATTATATACCAACTATTGTTAGGACCAAGAACTTGCCAGGAGCTCAAACATGCTAAATAAGAACTTTTAAGTTGAGCCCAATCCAATGGAATCAGTTTCGTTCCAATGCATAATTGAAGTTAAAAATGTATGCTCAATGTCATTGAGAATGATATTCTTTATAATTGGGAAAACTAAAGCAGCCATATAAGAGCTATAACTTGGACAGCAATGTCCTTGATGTTTCTTCCTTCTATAAAAGTTTAATATATTAATGTTCAAATGTGGATAAAAGAATTAAATGCAAGCAACAGGCAGTGCTTTCAGATTTGTATCAATCTTAACGCAATATTCAGGCCCACTATACCGATTCTTCCCCACAGATCTAGCATTTTTTCATCCACCTATTAAGATCCCTTTTCAATTCAAAATGAAATGGTCTTACCTACTAGAATGGATATTTTCACATAATACTTATGAATAAGACAGAGAACTTGTAGGTTAGTCATACCATGGCAAATACAGCATTCCTCATTTAAAGTAACCTGTCAGTTTTGGCATATTTGGGGTAGCAATGTCATAAGCATAAACATACCCCAAGTTTACCCTGAGGAAGTTTGTGCTACTCTGTACAAGCTAACACACTTTTGGCCCATCCCCTCAATATATAGTATACTAGCACAAACTCATAGCGTGTCCAAAGATGCAATTGTACAAAATAAAAATTTTAATAATGTTTTGTTGAATAAACCACAAAATTAATAGTTCATACATTACATTAAGTCATAAAACACTGCTTACAAACCACATAGGACAGGTTGTCACTTTTTCCATTGTTTTAACCAAATAACTATGCTATACTTAAATGTACTATAATGTGTGAACTCAGTCATACATGTATAGCTTAATAATTAATACTTAACATTTTCTCTTATATGATATACATACATAAGAAGGATACCACTATTCCTTCTTCACTGGAAAGCTGTCAGTTGTTACAAAAGACTTCCCCCCCCCCCCAATATTATACATGTGAGTTGAAGTTTAAAAGAAAAAAATGCCAGATAACATCTTTCAGGGGTAAGAATCCTGAAAATACTGAAATGCAAACACATGAATAAAATATAAATTAGAGTAATACCTTTGTGGCACTTAATACAGCAATGAGTTCCATTTGGATGAAGATAGTGCCCGACTTGGCACTGAACATCTCTCCTCTCTCTTCCGTTCAAGTGAATGAAAGTATGTTTCTCTGCTAAAACACCATGGATTCGCTTGGGCTCAGAAATGAGGGGTATTGCCAAGGACTCCCCAATTCTCAACTGAATTAGGATTAGATTTACCTGTGAAGAATAGCAGTACAAGTAAGGCAATTTTCAGCAAAGGCTGATTATCTCCTAATCATTTAGACCCTCCACAAAGACATATTCTTTAAGGCAATGGATTCTAGAATATATATTCTCAAAATGAAAGTAATAGTATTATTCAGATTGTTGATAATTCAGTTAAGGGATGGAGGATTATAAAAAGGGCAATTAAAAAATAAGCAGCCATCCTGTACATTTTATTCGTTTTTGTTGAGTTGCACATTATTCTCCATTTTCCAACAGGCAAATCTGGTTACTTCATTGTAACAATTAGCATATAAACTATTCTGACTGACCAGTACAAATTAAATTCAATTTGGGGGAAAAATGGACTGTTAAACCTAGAACACTCCTCTAATTAATATAACATCTGTCTTAATATTCTACAATTAGAATATTACAATGTAACAAAAAGAGAATTTATCAGCACTACACAACAAAATGGGCAACTGTCCTGCAGGTTGTATGGGGCCCCAGGCTGCAAAAGTATCATCTGTGGAGGAATAGGCAAATCAATTAAGTCTGGTGTGAACCAAGGCAAGAACACTAGGATCATAAATTTTGTAAAAACACTTCCTCATCTGTTTTATTTATATGGGTTTTCAGTTCATATCCAATAATGTAGATTAAAGTCATCTGTGGCTCATAATTAATCATGATTTAAACCAAATTTTGTTGAATTAGTCCACACAACATATTAAACCCGAAGTAAAAGAACCAAATTACAATTTAGCATGATACAGGTAGTCCTCAACTTACAACAATTCATTTAGTGGTAAGTTACAGTTGCACTGAAAAAAGTGATTTACAACCATTTTTCACACTTATGGCCTCTGGGGCATCCTCATGGTCATGGTCATGTGATCAAAATTCAGACACTTGGCAACTGACACATATTTATGACAGGTGCAGTGTCCCATGGTCATGTGATCATCTTTTGTGACCTTCTGACAAGCAGTCAATGGGGAAGCCAGATTGACTTAACAACCATGTTACTAACTTAATAGCTGCAGTGATTCACTTAACAACTATAGCAAGAAAGGTTGTAAAATGGGACAAAACTCACTTAACAAATATCTCAGTAACAAAAATGTTGGGCTCAATTGTGGTTGTAAGTCATACATTACCTACCCGTATTTTTCGGAGTATAAGACACACTTCCCCCCCCTAAAAGAGGGTGAAAAATTGGGTGTGTCTTATAAACTGAATGTAGCCCCACCCTTTCATGAAGAGGTGGCACGGCCACGAACACAAAGCCAAACAACAGCAACACAGTTCACCAGCTCAAATCCCCCTGCTACTCAAACTAACCCGAGCACAACCAAGACCCCACCTAAACAGAACACACACCCCGCCAATCAGAGCACAGCCAATCCCCCATCCAATCAGAGCACAGCCAAACCTCCAATTAGAACACACCTCCACCCAATCAGAATACAGCCAAGCTCCCACCCAATCAGTTCACACCCCCACTGGCAGTTAAAAGGAAGAAACAGCTGCGATCACACACATTGCTCCTAGAAGCACGAAGCCGAAAACACCAACCTGAAGATGACGAATGAGACTTCGTCGAAACGTTGCCGAGACACCTCCAATTTTACACGGGAGAAAACCCAAATAACCAAAGACCTACATACATACATATACATATATACATATATACATATATACATATATACATATATACATATATACATATATACATATATACATATATACATATATACATATATACATATATACATATATACATAGATAGATAGATAGATAGATAGATAGATAGATAGATAGATAGATAGATAGATAGATAGATAGATAGATAGATGTATATATGTTTTCCCTACGTAACCAAGGTTTTTCTGCAGCCCTAGCTCAGTAGAATCACATCCACTCGATTCTGGGCTTTTTTCTTTTCTGGTAGCCAGCAAGTTCTTCCTGCTAGGTGGGAGACTTATATAGATCTATTTCTAGCTCGTTTGCTTTCATCAAACCTTGGTTACGTAGGGAAAACCTGGCTAGAGGAAAAATACACATAAACCCTACGAAGAAGTAAGAAAATAGATACTATACCTTTACAGGGAGGATACATAAGATGTGGGTGTGGCTTACTGATGAAAGCAAACAAGCTAGAAATAGATCTATATAAGTCTCCCACCTAGCAGGAAGAACTTGCTGGCTACCAGAAAAGAAAAAAGCCCAGAATCGAGTGGATGTGATTCTACTGAGCTAGGGCTGCAGAAAAACCTTGGTTACGTAGGGAAAACCTGGCTAGAGGAAAAACACACATAAACCCTACGAAGAAGTAAGAAAATATATATATATATATATATATATACATACGTTTTAAGCACTAAAACTAGTGCTTAAAAATACGTGAAAAAGATATAACAGAAAAAAAATAAATTCAATATATAAGGTATAATATAGGTTACAGACTTAAAACCATTAATTTAATCACAGTTTGAAATCACAACTTTAAAATTTAAAAAGTGACACTTTAAAAAAGTGACATGACTGTTTTTCACACTTATGACTATTGCACCATCTCAGAAGAAGAAAACACTTCTATTCCATACAATGTTAAATATTGTAGCCGAAGTCATTGAGATACACAGAATGAAGACAGATAGAATATGGTATTTGTCTCAGTGCAACATGTTAAAAATTCATTCTCATTATCTACCAAATCAATATTTCTGCTTTCATCCAATTTTTCCATATCACCATCTTTTCCCCAATTTTTAATGTTGAATTTCCCCATAAAATAATATAGCGTGGGAAAAGGATGTTTTTTATAATGTACGTATCTTTGTGTTTTGTTCTTTTTGTTTTTTTCTATTTGTGTTATTATTTTAAAAGAAATAATAATTATTTTAAAAAGTTAAAATTCTAACTGCCAAACCTTGTTCATTTTTTTCTGGCCAGATAACTTTTTAACTGTGTTTTAAGATGCTGAGATTGTAGCAGCAATTATATGAGATTGAGTGAGCAATTAACAGTTATTAAATTAATTAAAATTAACAATTAATGAGCTAAAGAAAACATCTGATGCCTACATATTCCTCTTTCAGGAAGTTTCTTATATTTTACTGACTTAACAGCAGCTTGGAAATTCTTGTGCAACTTAAAAGCTTCATTAAAAAAAAAACCTTTGCTCTCATATGCCAACATAAACAATTTGTTCTGTCTATTCTTAGTAACAGTATTAATACGGAAGATAGGCTTCTATAAGTCGTGTTCTTTTTTTCCTAACTTCTAACTTCCCTGCCAGCCTCATACTATGGGATCTGGGTCATGTCAAGTGTCTTTATGCTAAACAGGGAATATGTGAGGTAAAACTGTCAAGAACTCAGTTCTGCCAACAATGGACCTAAAACTAAAGATCCTACTAAAAACTTCTGGAATTCTCCTCATCCAGGTGCTTACTGACCATTAATCAATAATCATGTTCTGATTGGGAGGGGGAAAGAAAATAGAACCCCACAAACATTTTTTGTAGTAAGTAGAAACGAAAGTATAATGGATGTGCCAGAGGTCACCATTTAAAGAGGCCAGGAACAGTGGTCTCTTCCAATGCAGTTTTTAAAAAAGTTCAAGCAGCATATAGAGATACTTAAAGATATAAAGCAATATAGGACATCGTTTCAATTGCTTTTCTACTTATATTTTGTAATTGTGTTTCTGAACAAATCTCAGAATCAAGGCTTAGAAAGAGGGAATTTGACAATAATAACACAACAATGTCAGAATTGCCTCTAAATATTTCTCAGCATTAGTCAGTAAAACGTTATAACTAGTAGCCAGCACGGGTTTGTTAAAAACAGATCATGCCAAACCAGTGGTGGGCTCCAAATTTTTTAACAACTGGTTCTCTTCCCTAATGTAAGGTGACCAGATTTTAACATTGGTAAAGAGGGACACCATTGTAGGCGTGGCTTATTTTGTGGGCATGGCTTGGAGGTCATGTGACTGGGTGGGCGTGGCTAGCTGGTCATGTGACTGGGTGGCCATGGCTATGTGTATAGGGACTACTCAGAGGGCTGAAAAAGGTCATTTCTGACAGGTCCTCGCACTTTTGACTGGTCCTCACACTTATGACCATCCTCACATTTATGTCCGTGCAGCATTCTTAACAACCATGTCACTCATTTCACAACTGCTTCTCTTCACCATGATGATAAGATAGGGCAAAAAACGTAAAATGTGAGGATAGTCGTAAGTTCGAGGACTGGTCAAAAGTGTGAGGACCAGTCAAAAATAACTTTTTCAGCCCTCTGAGTAGTCCATATGCATAAAAGGATACAGCAATAGAGAGGGATGAAGGAAGGGAAGGGAAATTAGAGTAGGAGGGAGGGTAAGAGAGGGAGGAAGAGAGGAGGAGAAGGAGAAAGGAAGAGGAAGTAGGGAGGAGAAGAAGAGGGGGGGGAAGAGAAAGTAAGAAGGAAAGAAAAGAGAGAGGTGGTAGGTTTGAGGAGAAAGATTGCTGTACAATAAAAAAGATGAAAGGGAAGAAAGCCAACCCCAAGCAAATATTAAGATAAAGAATGAATTGTTAAACTTTAAAGAATAAAAGAGAACAAATATGAATAAATAGCAATAATTAGAAACACACATACAAACATACAATGTATTTTCTTTGAACAGAATATTTGGCTGGTTCGCAAATTTAAACGGTGTTTAGTCATTTCAATTAAATTTACAATTTCTATATTTCCTTTTTGCCATATTTATTCCTCATCTATTTTTGTAAAAAAACAATATTACCCTTCATCCTCATCTCTAATCTTAATCAAATTCAATTTTTCCCTTCTATTCTATATTATACCCTTTCCCATTGTCATCTATTTTTATATCCATCCTCACATTGGTTAATTATGTAATTATGTAATACAGTTGTTTAATACAAATTCAACATTTTAATATAAATCAATTAGTTATATAACTATCTTTTTTGTATATTAATCAATATGAACATG